ACCTGCGCCATAGAGTCCAGTCAATGTGGAAATCGGTTTCCTGTAATCCTTGTACACGTGTCTGTCTCTTTAACGTATTGGAATTATGTAAGCCATATAGCTATTCCTCCATCTTTCCTTTTTCTTTCGAATTTCCTCTCCCCGTCGGTTGCCTGATGTTGATCATTCACGCTGTGATTTGTGCAGATGTTTTTCTTTTCCTAAGGATCCAACTCTTTTTCTTTTTCTTTTGAACACGATATGGGGCAACTTCTGTAGGGTCTAGGACAGGGGTCTTGAAACTTGGCCCTCTGATGACTTGTGGACGTCAACTCCCAGAATTCCTCAGCCAGGCAATTCTGGGAGTTGACGTCTACAAGTCATCAAAGGGCCAAGTTCGAAGACTGCTTGGTGTAGGACAACTTCCATCGCCAACTCAACACGGGAAGAGTTGCACTAAGTAGAGCAGAAAGGGTGGGAAAGAATCATTCAAGGAAATAATGCCAAAGAAGGGACAAAACGAAATGCGAATGACAAGAAATATTTTTAAAATTCTTTCAAATGATTGATTTGGCCCTTGTTGAGTTGACCTTCGGCAAGTTGGCCATGACACGTTGGCCGTGGTGAGTTGTCCCATTCGGACTTCTGTAGACTTCTTTCGATTGGACAACTTGTGGGAAGGCAATTCCAGCCCGTTCAAATTTTTCAGCCTAACACTGTGATCCTCTACAGCAGGGGGGTCTTCAAACTTGGCCCTTTTGTGACTTGTGGACTTCAACTCCCAGAATTCCTCAGCCAGGCACATGTGCCTGGCTGAGGAATTCTGGGAGTTGAAGTCCACAAGTCACAAAAGGGCCAAGTTTGAAGACCCCCTGCTCTAGTCTATGGAGATCTGGCGCAGCGTCCAAGGAAACAACACAACACACTGTCCAGAACCAACCCATGTACCTGCTTTTATGTCGCGTGAACAAGAACTATGACATATCTGAGGTTTTGCTCTTGGTGTATTGAAGATTTTTTTTTTTCATGTCGGTTATGTTCACTTGGAATGTGAATACATTCGTTGGTTGTGTACGTGGGTTTTTGTATTGAGCCCCACTCGGATTCTGTGTATAACCAATATCCAATAAACATATTTGCTTAATGCTGTGTCTGTGAGCTTTTAAATCATAAGGTTTGGGGGCCGAGCGGGGAGCGGGACTCCGCCCATCGTGGCTTGCAGGCGAGACATTCCTGCAAACCAGGGTCTAAAACAGTGTTTCTCAACCTTGACCGTTTTAAGGCATGTGGACTTCAACTCCCAGAATTCCACAGCCAGCATTGCTGGCTGTGGAATTCTGGGAGTTGAAGTCCACATGCCTTAAAATGGTCAAGGCTGAGAAACACTGAGTCTAAAAGACCTGGAAGCCTGGTTAAAGCCAGCCCTTCTGCAACCTGGCGCCCTCGCTTAGCGCGTTCTATCAGCCGCGGGCGCCCCAGCCTCCTGAACGGAGAGCGTGACGTAGCGCCGACGCCCCGCCTTTCCCCTTCCACCTCCCTATCACGCGAGAGGGCGCGGCCGTCCCCGGCCACTCCCCTTTGGGAGCCACGCCAGCGACGAGCGCTCCTTTTTTTCCCCTTCTCCTTCTACGTCACTTCCGCCGGCGGTTAAGCTGGCCCGGACGGCGTTTCCGCTTCCGCTCTCGGCCGCGGCGTCTCTCCTGTCACCATCAGCTGGTGAGTTTCCCTCCTTCGGGGCGTCGTTCGTGACCCGTCTGCCTTCCCTTTTCGGGCTCGAGGCCCGGTCGGCCGCTTGGGCTCTCCGGCTGCCGGTGAAAAGGAGAGGCTAGGCCGGCTCGCTCTCTCTCTCTCCCGGGGGGCGGGGAGGAGGAGCGGGTGGGGGGGTTTAAGCCGGTGCGCGGATTGTCCAGGCATTACGGTAGCCCAGGTATCTCCCGGTTGGAGCACCCCGGGACTCCCCTTTAGGGTAAATACGGTACTCCACAAACCAGGAAGCGTTAACTAGGGGGCATGGGGGCTCTGGAGATATATACAGATATGTATAGACATATATGAGGGTTGCTATATTATGTGTATGTGGGTTACTGTGTGTGTGTGTATATATAGTTAAGCTGATACACACATATATGCATAAATGTGTGTGTATGTGTGTGCATGCATAGGTATGGTTGCATATATATGAGGGTTGCTACGTTTGTCTTTAGATGTTTTATGTGTATGTGTGTGTATAAATATAAGAGTTGCTATTTTTGGATATATATATATATACATATATACATATATACACACACAGACATGTTGCTATATTATGTCTATGTGGGTTACTGTGTGTGTATATATATATAGTTAAACTGATACACACATATGCATAAATGTGTGTGTTATGTGTGTGCATGCATAGGTATGGTTGCATATATATACATATATACACACACAGACATGTTGCTATATTATGTCTATGTGGGTTACTGTGTGTGTGTATATATATAGTTAAACTGATACACACATATATGCATAAATGTGTGTGTTATGTGTGTGCATGCATGCATAGGTATGGTTGTGTATATATGAGGGTTGCTACGTTTGTCTTTAGATGTTTTATGTGTATGTGTGTGTATAAATATAAGAGAGTTGCTGTTTTTGGATATATATATACACATACACATACACACATACACACACAGACATGTTGCTATATTATGTGTATGTGGGTTACTGTATGTGTATATAGAGAGAGTTAAACTGATACACACATATAGGCATAAATGTGTGTGTGTGTGCATGCATGCATAGGTATGGTTGTGTATATATGAGGGTTGCTATTTCTCTTTAGATGTTTTGTGTGTATGTGTGTGTTTATATAAATGTAAGAGAGTTGCTGTTTGTGTGTATATATATATATGCAGACATGTATATGTGTGTATATACACATATATGAGGGTTGCTATATTATGTGTATGTGGACTAATTGTGTGTGTGTGTGTGTGTAGAGAGAGTTAAACTGATACATACACAGAGATATATGCATAAATGTGTGTGCAGGTACAGATAAACAGAGATATATATACACACACATCTAATGTGTGTGTGTGTGTGTATAAAAATAAAAGAGATGGGGGGAAATAGCTGGTGCTATATTGGCTTAAAAGTTAGCTTATTTTTCATGCTGTGTGACTTTTCTTGATGTTTAATGGTACAGCAAAAATATGTGCTGAAAGGAGAACAAAGAAGCGGGACATACTCTGGACACCAGAACTAAGCTTTTGTTTGGAGTCTTAGATTCCCTCTCGAATTCCGAAGCTGATCTCAGATATAACCATTTCCCAGACTTACGTAACTAATTCTTCGGAGATTACGGAGTCTTCTGGAAGATAGCTCGACACAATCTTCTTAACCTGAAGTGCACCAGGAGCTCATTTGTGATCCCTCCCCTCCTCATCTTGCTTAACTGGTCCTGCTTTCTTTCAGCACCGCCATTATAAGAGAGAGGAGCGCGTTTTTAGGCCTTAGAAAGGCAGCCGCTGGCTGCCATTAGTTCTGCTGCTTTCAGAATGAGAAAAGACTGCCAAATTTGGAATTGTGATCTCCAGGGAGACTTCGCTCCTGACGGTTATCATTTCCCAAGTGTTTTAACATTTGGTTTCTGTACCTTATAAACACCACTTGGTGTATATTAATATTTAGCGTAGTATGGCAAAAGGACTCCTTGATACGGTTATCTCAAAAGTATTTTGGTCCCTGATCAGTATTTCAGTGTGGCAGTATTTAGTGTCGGGCGGCTTTTGCAGAGTTGCCAGGGACACAGTGAATTATTCATAGTTGTTTGTGTTGGTATCAGGTAGGTAGATAGCCTGAGCTCACGAGAAGCTGTATTGTCTTTATACGTGCTTGGGGGAGAGGCTCTCCTTCAGCTGATGGATCCTGCATTGGTAGGTTTATTTTTGCTGTTTAAACTCTGGTGCACCTAAATGGCAGAATCCCTCTGATATCTCAAACCCTCAACATCAAAGGGGTTGAGAAGGAGCCATCCCATATACAGTAATATCTTCTATATATTCTAATGTTTTTTGTTATTATTATTATTTTTTTGGTCTTAGTCGCTCCCTTGATTTTAACAAACCCTGTTTTTTGTTGTAAAACTGGATCCTTGGTAGATTTTTTTTCCCCTTCTGGTCATAAAGACATGTCCTTTTTGTTATTGTTGTTGTTGTTAACTGTACAGATAGAAACAACCAACTGGAAATTGACAAGAAATGTGTAACTTTGGTTCAGTTGACAAGAGGACATCACCATCAGGTTTTGATTTAAGCTACAGTAGTTTTGTCTAGTGGTTAGAAAGAAGGAGATCATGAGTGCAAGTCCTGTCTTAGCTGTGAAAGCCAGCTGGGTGACTTTGGGCCAGTCGTTCTCTCTTAGCCCAACCCGCCTCACAGGGTCGTTGTGAGGAGGAACGTGCGTTGGATGTGTTTGCTGCCTTGAATTATTTGTAAAAAATATATAAAGGCAATTATGGAATATTTCCTTGCCCTAAATTAATAGATGTATTCTTTTTATGCCCTCCGTGCTAAATGTGTATTGCGTTAATTTAATACGAGATCCTTCTTAATGGGTTCCCCCCCCCCCAGTTGACTGAAATACTTGATTAAGACCAAATAGGTTAACAGAGGAACAGTAAAGAATTGGATCCGTTTAGAACCCCAGCCGGCGTCATCATTGGCTAAACTGCTTGCAGTCCCTAAAATTCTATTGGGAGGAGGACCACAGACAGAACTGTTTTGATTATTCTGTACATAGAGTCGTGGCCTTGAATTGGTTCCCCTAAATACCTTTGATCTACGCATGTGTAAATTGTTTTGTCCTGTTTCCAAAAATGTCTTCTCTTTATTTTTAATGTAGCAGCACGATTGGATAATGAGCCCCTTGAGGGAGTAGAACTGATTGAATGGAAGATTCCTGCCGTCCATTGCTGGGGGGCATCTGAGTGGGGGGCTTTTGGTTTCTGCACACCGGGCATCCTAGCTGGAAGAAGATGTTTGCCAAGCTGAAAAAGAAGATTGCTGATGAGGCTGCTACTGCCCCACGGCCTGGGGGGCTAGCCAGGATGCCCAGGTCGATCAGCAAAGAATCCGTCACGTCAGCGGGAGCAGATTCAGGGGACGATTTTGTAAGTCTCACAGATGGAGTTCAAACAAATCTTTTCAGAGGCCAGAGGTCACTTTAAAAAAAACTGAGTCTTGTTTGGCTAAAGCCCAGAGAATTATTATTATTTTTTTTAAAAAAAAAGACACTTGAAAAATAGCTCATATTACTTACCGTGATGAAGGCTTCCTAACATTGGCAAAGGACTTGACTGATCTGTTGAGGATGTGTATAAAAATATAAAATGAGTTGGTCTGTTCCTTTTTATTTACTCCTAGAGGTAGATTAATCCATGAAGAGTTGATTTCCTTGTTCTTTCGAATCTATTATAATGAGGAGGTGGTGAGTTCTAGTCCCACCTTAGGCCTGAAAGCCGGCTGGTGACTTTGGGCCAGGAGACGATGTTCTAGTCCCACCTTAGGCCTGAAAGCCGGCTGGTGACTTTGGGCCAATCACCAGGAGACGATGTTCTAGTCCCACCTTAAGGCATGAAAGCCAGCTGGTGATTTTGGGCAAGTCGCTAGGAAACTGGGAGTTCTAGTCACGCCTTAGCTATGAAAGCCAGCTGGGTGACTTTGGGCCAATCACCAGGAGACGGTGAGTTCTAGTCCCACTTTAGGCATTCACTCTCAACCCACCCCACAGGGCTGTTGCTTTGTGGGCAAAATAGGAGGAGGAAAGATTAGTAGACACGATCACCCAATACCAGATGCAAGAAGGGGGAAAAAAATCATTTAAAATCTTTTTTGTTACTGATAAAAAGAATAAAGGTGGGATAAAACGAGAAAATAAAGGAAACGGGGGGGGGGGGGATAGGACCCAAACCTGTTCGTCACACCCTCCTGGGTTGGCCCATTCCAGAAATGAATCTTAATGTCTCTCTGTGTCTTCTGCCTACCAAGCCATCTGATGGAAGCAGCTCCAGAGAAGACCTCTCGTCGCAGCTGTTCCGAAGAAATGATCAAATACGGAAGCTAGAAGTCAAGCTATCCGGTACGTTTCTCGCCGTACAGAGGGGATACTGTACTTGCCATACAGATGTTTTCCTCCATCCCTTTTTCAAATGAAGGACAGTCAGGGATTGTACATCTCTCTGATTTTAAAGCTCCAGTACTCTTAATGTACGGACGTGCGCACGCGTAGCTCCCAGCAAATGTTTTATTACGCATTCCGCTCCTTACAGGTGGATGTTCTTCCTGCCTACAGCCCACTTTGTCTGTTTGTGGGTTAGATATATAGGCCAGAGTTTCCTTCCAAAGCTCACAGCTCCCCTGTTCTCTCTGTAGCAACCTCACGAGGCTAGTCAAAGGGTGTGAATTGCACAAAGTCCTTCCGTGAGTTTCTGGGGCCTCAGTTCTACTCCAGCAGCCTCACCACTATTCTACCTGAGCCCTGTTTCAAAAGTCACACTTTTGACACTATAGTTGCTGCTTTCCTGTTTTGTGATGAAGCAGATGGTCTCTGGGAGATTTCCCCCCCCCCACCACCACCACCTCCTAGAGAATCTGAAAGGGCGTCTTTGCCATTTGTTCCACTGGACTAGAAGCTTTTTGGAGGGGAAAGGGGCTTTCAAAAGCACCTGTCCCTTTCCTTGCATCCTGGGTAAAAACATTCCTTTTATTGGCCAATTTATTTTACTTCCGTTCTGTTCTCGTCTGCCTTCATATTTCGAGGGCAGTAAGGATGGGGAGACCTTGTTATTAGCCTGGAGGAGGTTATGATTCTAAGACTATAGAATCATTGTTCCTTTCCATTCATATTTTAAAAGACCGAATTCCCTTCTCTCTCTCTCTCTTTTTTTTTTTTGCCTTTGTCTGTCTGTAACTGGTGCCACCCTGTCTTTCCACTAAGATTACGCCGAACAGGTCCGAAACCTGCAGAAGATCAAGGAGAAGCTTGAAAATGCCTTAGAGACACACCAGGATTGTATGTACCCTTCATTTATTTCCCATTTGATAAAGCATTAGAAACCTCAGGAGAAGAATTTTAAAATAATACAGCACGGGGCAGCACCGTTCTTGGATATAGAGGCTGTTTATTTGCTGGGCTGCCGTTTATTTAAGTTTCATAAACTACAGGCAGCCATTGACATATCACGGTTTCGTTTAGTGACGGTTCGAATTCACAACAGCCTTGAAAAAAGTGCCTTTTGACCATCTCTCGCATTTATAACTGTTACGATGGGTGGCCAATACATTTCATAAATAAATAAATCTTATGGGGGGGAGGAAACCTCATCAGTGTTAGAATGCAGATACCTCCTCGTTTAGCACTGATGGTGATGAAAAAGTAACCTCGCCTTCGTGACCGTCGCAGGCCTGTAAAGCCAAGGAAAGCCGATGTCAGATCATCAGCGCAGTCCCGCCTAGCGACCGCTTCATTTAACGGCCGAGTCGCCGGTCCCAATTTACATCGCTAAAGGAGGACTCTCTTTCCACACCTTGCCTTTCCCAGCAAAATTTCAGAGAGAGCAAACAGGTGGATAAAAACGAATTTGCTGCCACTTAGCAAATACATTGTTGGATATAGAGAGCTTAATTCCGGCAAGGCATCAAGTCTTTCCCAAACAGGCAGATCTCAACTTTCCTCCAGCGTTCACTCCATTCACACCTTTTTGTTGTCTTCCACACAGCTTTTGTGAAGAAGCTCCAGGAGCAGAACGAAACGCACCAGGCCAGCGTAGCCAAGATGGCGGAAGGGATGAGCCTGGCGCTGGAGAGGAAAGACCAGGTAGCTTTTCTCTGAAATCCGTGGCGTGGCGACAACTCTGCCTCGAAGGTGGTATAAAACCCTTCAGGAGAGGCAGGAGATTTTCCTGGATTCTCCTGACCTGCCGGGAAAAACGTCAGAAAGCTCTCTAACCACGGCGGCTGCCTTGGGCTTTGTCATTTATCCAGCCCAAAGTTAGGGAACTTTGCCCTCTCATTCGCTTCTGTTGTTCTGTCCCCGTCGGACACACACACCCAAACAGCCAGCCGAGGGTTAAAGAACTTATCCACAATCCAATCCACAGATAAGAAAAACTTGGCAGCAGCTCCGTAGCTGCCTGCCAAGACTTTTACTCAGAGAACAAAAAACAATACACACAGTTAGAAAATTAAGTCCACAGCAAACTACTTCGCCAGAGATTCAGCTTTGTCCGTCACAGAGGTCCAAATGGCCACCACCACCCTTATATAACCTGTGGGGTGTGGTCCAGTGACTCAGCTTAATCTCTGGCACGCCTCCTTTTCTGCTGTGCACGCTTGTCGCTCCTACGCTGACGTGGATCCAGCCACAACTTCTCTTCCTCATTATCCGACACACCTGGCTCCTGGCCCATCTCAGAAACACCTGGCTCCTGGTCAATCTCTTCTCCGTCGGGAGACACCTGAGGCATTGCCAGAGAGGAGGGTCCTGGAGAGGGAGGCCTGGCCATCTCCTCTCCTTCATGTTTGGAGCCTTCTTCCTCCGATAAGAGGGGTTCACAAGACGGAGCCACAACATCTGTGTGCTTCAGGGATAATAATCCCACGGGTATTTGGAAGCTGTTTCGTGCCACGATGGAGCCCAGAATGTCTGTTGTTAAATTTCTGTTGTTTGTGGCACTGTGTGGTGCAGGGAGAAAAACGTTCCCCCTTTTCCCCACCGCTTCAGAATGTCTTGTGGGGGGTGTGTCTTCTCTTAAAGAGCCTCCCAGGAAGATGGGGGGTTAAGAAGTGTGAAATATACATAAATAACGACTGGGTCTTTAAGGAAGGAGAGCTGTGATGTCACAAAAGCATCTCTCTCTCTCTGCTGCTGCTGCTTCATGATGTCAGAGCAGCTGTTGGAGGTGCTTCCCTGTCGGTCTTGCTGGTCTCTGCCCAGTTCCTTGCTTTGCTTTTGTGGAGCCCTTCCAGGCAGCCCTCCTTCAGTGCCTCTTTCGTGCTGGAGCGCAGGGGTAGCCATGCTGATGTTGAGCTGTCCCTTTCTCTTTCCCCAGGAGTGGCGGGAAAAGCTGTCTCATCTGGAAAAGGTGAGGAGCTGGCTTGAAACCAAGGATGGGCAAACACGGGGTTGTCGGTTTCGGGGATCTCCAGAATTAAGGCCTTGGGGGACTCATCCACACTGGGGATGTGGGGGGGGGGCTCAGATGGTGGACTTTGGGGTCTCTTAAGAGGTGCTGTAGAAAGAAAAATGTTTTAGGGTGGATGGGGGTCAAAGGGCACTGCTTCCAAGTGACCCCCAAGCAAGGGTTATATCAGCCTTGCGGGTCCTTCGGAAATGCCGTCTCTTGTAAGTCTGGATTTCCAGATCTTAAATATCTTACCGATCTTTCCAAACCTGGTTAGGTTTTGCCCTGAAGTTGAGACCTACCTTCCTTCCTTCCTTCCTTCCTTCCTTCCTTCCTTCCTTCCTTCCTTCCTTCCTTCCTTATTTTTATTTTTATTTATTTTTTATTTCCCCCCCCCCCAAACTTCTTGTGCCTTGGCGGCCAAACAGGAGCGGAAACTTCTTTCAGCCCAGTTGCAAGAAATGAGAGAGCAGAGTTTGAATTTATTCCAGAAGAGGGATGAAATTGACGAGCTGGAAGGCTTCCAACAGCAGGAGCTTGCAAAAATCAAGCACATGGTGAGGGTCCCTGGGGGGGGGGGGTTGGGGGCATCTCAGGCTGAGTTTCCTAATTTTCTTCGGGGATGTGGGTTGATGGAGAGCCCTGGCTTCTGGTCCCAAATGCACCAGGCTCACTCTTAATATATTTTCCCCCCCACTATTTTGAATTGTGTCTTCTTCTTTTTTTCCCCCCTATGGGCGGGCAGACCCCTTCATTCCACCGTGCCCCCACAAAGCCTCCATTTGAGAGTGTGGAGCCTTTTCAAAAGACTTGGAAAAATGTCCCACTCAACCTGATTTCAGGGGTCCTTGGTGCTCTCTGAGCTTGTGGTTTTCTTGCAGACATTTTACCACCCAAACTAGGTGACGTCAAATCTGTGTCAACCTGTGATATCTTTATTCATCATTTTCCCCACCGGAATTTATCCGAGTGGCAGGTTTGCTGGGCTGAGAGAACCCCCTGTGTTAAGCATCTCAAATCTGAACGGGTTCCTTGTAACCATCATTTACATGCATGATATTATAATAATCAGCATTCAGTTAGGAAGGACAGTATGTAATATTTTTTTTTTCATAAGACACTTTTTAGCGTCTGTTGTCTTTTTTTTCTTTTGTTTCTTTTAAATATTTTGGTGTTTGCGTTTTAACGTTCTTGGAGTAAACTGTTATTAAAAAAAAAATAAGGAGTCCTTGTAAACATCTAGCTTCTGAAAAAGGAGGAGTCCTTGGCCCGGATGGAGGGAGATATGAGATCTTCCACCCAGGAGTTGCTAGAAACACGAGATGAGCTGCAGGCCTCTCGGGATTTGTCCTCACGCCTGACCACGGAGGTCGAGGGGCTGCAACAACAGCAGAGGGACCTTACGATGGAAAGGTAGGAGAAGCATCCTCCTGCAGAGAGTGGCAACGGCCCTTAGACTTATAGACCCCTTCACAGGGCTTTATAGTCCCTCTCTAAGCTGTTTACAGAGTCTGTCATGGTTCCGAGAAGAAGTAACTTTTCAAAGAACTTTGAGGCTTAATTACCTTAAAGAATCCTTTAACAGATTACATGATTCGGCAGGAACAAAGGAAAGCCAAAAACTGAAACCCCTCCCCTGAGCACATAGTATCAAAGCACAATTCCCTCCCTCCTTTCACAGTCATCAATCATAGGCTCCAATTAATTTGAAGTGTGAGTCGCTCCCCCCTCTATTCTCTGCTATGGCGCTCTGCTGTTACTTTGACCTTGTCTGTGCTATGCTAAGATAATGTTATTATTCACAGGCATTCCTCCCCACTCATATGGCTAGCAATGTCTGCTTTAACCCTTGAAGTGATATGTAGGCTAAATAAGATATGTTTGCTTCTTCACATATGGCAAGCAAGAACATCCAAAGTTAGCAGGCTTGACAGAGTCAGCATCTTGCCCCTGACAATCTGGGTCCTCGTTTTACCGGCTTCGGAAAGATGGAAGGCCGAGTCAACCTTGAGCCAGTCAGGATCGAACTGCTGGCAGTGGGCAGAGTCAGCCTGCAATGCCGCATTCTAACCCCTGCGCCACCACGGCTCAGAGAAGATGTTAGGAGCTGCCTGAGAGGATAGGGAGGGGGTCTTGGGTCATACCCACCGACTCAGGTGTGGCTTTTACTATTTGGGTAGCAGTGACGAAAGCGGCTCTGTGGCTCCTTCAGCATCAGCCTTTTGGGCATGGAGACAGGATGACGCTTCCTAGGTGGCCAGGCCAGGTGGAAGACCATCGGCCACCCAACCTGATTTGGGCATCCTATTTTTGGAGTCCTGCTTCAACGAGAAGCGAGCCAGCAAGTCTTCCAACTGAAAGAATCTATGATGGTCTCAGCCGTGGTTGTCCAATCTACATGGTTGCCCGGCTGCCCAGCTTTACCCTGTCATAAGATGGGCAGCCAATAAATTTAATAAATAAATATAAAATATTTGGCTCGTCTGGGCTGCCTTGAGTGAAGAGGAATTGTCTTGGCCGTATATAAAATATACAATCCAGTTAATGTATAGAAATAACAAACGGACCTTTATGTTTTTACACTCTTGTGGGGCTACATTACTAGCCGCCCGGGGCCGTGTGGGCCACGGGCTGGACACATGTGGTCTTGACTATGAAATATCCTACCTCTCTAGATGTTTACAGGTGAAGAAAAAAAAACCTCTGTAATTGCCACGTCAATGGACATTGACCAGTGGCCACCTTGAGTATCTCCTCCAATGGGCCAAGGTGAGAGTGGACCGGCTTGATTCTCACAAAGAAGGGCCAATATGCGTGTCCCAGGATAATGTTACAAGATGGTAAAAATAAATAGATAAAGCAATTGTGTTATTTATAGACATGAACTAGATTATATATTTTAGACGTGGCCCAAGACAATTCCTCTTTGCTTTCATTCTGGAGGGAGAGAAGTCCTCTAAGAATGGAGTCCAGCACAAGTCCAAATCTCCGGTCCCCGGTGACCGACCCCAGATTGGATCCTGTTTGATTCTCTCCCTCTCTCTCTCTCTGATGCTGAATGTGTGCTCTCTGGAAAGGTTTTCCTTCTGGCTAGGAACAGGGAAAAATATCCAGGCTTTGAGCTTTGACCGAGAAGAGCCGAACTCAAGCTTCTGAATTATGCTCTGAGAGTCAAAGTTTCTCTCCCCGTCTCCGACGCAGGGATGAGCTCCAGAATGCCAGGGCAAGCGCAGAAAACAAGATTACCAGCTTGGAAGAACGGAGCCAAGACTTGCAGTCCTATGTCCAGCGCGTGTCAGTAGATCTGCAGAAGGTCAGTTGCCACGTTCTGGCTCCTCCTCCTTTACTCTTTCCGTTGAGTCGGGCACCCCGATGTCCGTAGCTGCCAAGCCTCTGAAAGGGGACACCAAAGATGTCATGTGTCTGAGTAACGAAACACTTAAAAGGACTTTCAGGCATGTTTTCTCCTAAAAGCTTTTATTAATGTTAAAATACATCAGCACGGCATGGAGGAATGCTTAGAACTGCTTCTCTTCCGGTACGCCTAGCATTCCAGACATTGTCCACTCCCTTATTGTAGGGTCATGGTTCACATCTTCCAATCAACTTGAAAGATGTGATTTACTTCCGGTTTCTTTCTCCCGGGCTATCCCTATGCTCCTCCCTCTTTCCTAGTTGCTGGTTTAACTATATATATACCAGAAAGTTCTGCACATTGTCAAAGCAAGAATATACAGTATTTGCAGCGTTGACAAAAGAAAGGGCACACACAGTGCCCTGAAAGGGGACACCAAAGGGGACACCAAAGAGGGCACACACAGTGCTGCCTGAGGGGGTCCTTCTTAGAAAAATCCACTTTCCTGCTGGATACGACGCAAAGGAGCCCTTCAGTTGACCAACGTTCAGCTCTTGGCCACTCCTCAGTAGAAAGCTGTAGTTCCTTGGGTGGGATTGTGAAATGTAATGGGCAGGGCTTCTGTTTCATGGGTCTCCCCTCTCTTTCTCATGCCCTCTCCTCTCTGTTGTTAGGATCACAGTGCCAGCTTCGAGCAGGTTGGCTGGTTTCAGCAGTAGCTTGAAACTGAGTCGAGGGACAAGGGCTGTGGGTTACTCATCGCCCATAAACTAGTGGATGCTGGCTCCCTTGTATACGGAGTTCAGCCTGTCTCAAAGCATCAAAGCTCCAGGAATAGTTGACCTATGGGGAGAGGCAGAAATCTTTCCCTCAAGAAGTCCCTCAGCCCAGATGTTCCAGCTTAGATCTCAGGACCCTGTTCCTTGAATCTTCTAGGCTCAGCTGGCTGCCTCCAGTGCGGAAAAGAGCCTGGATCTGCTGCAAGGAGAACACAAATCTCTGAAGCTGGACTTTCAAGAGCAAAGGCAAAAGGTAGAGATCTCCCCCTCCCCTCGTAAGGCAGGTTGACCGACAACATTGATGCCAAGCCGTCTCACCCGTGTGTCCAAACAGATGGCTGTCCAAGTGGAGGAGAAGACCCAGCTGGTGGGTCAGCTGCAAGAGAAAGTGGCCACCTTGGAGAAGCGGCTGGAAGGAAGCCTCTCCGGGGACGAACACTTTCAGCAGCTGTTCAGAGAGGTGAGCAAGAGACGGACTGGGGCAGCGGGAAGAGGTCGACTGAGGGAGTTTGATGAGTCTTGATTGCTCAGACTTCATAGAGTTTAATTCCTGCCAGTCTGTGAAAGGCAGGGGCCTTTAAGGCAGAGACACAAGTGGGCCTCAAAGAGAAGTGAACTCAAGTCAGCCTTGAGGCAGAGATCACAAGTGGACGCAGTTGAAGAGGGGTGTTGGGTTGTGATTGGTTCACCATCAGTTCCTGCAGGATAAGCAACCTCCCTCTCCTTCCTTCCTTCCTTCCTTCCTTCCTTCCTTCCTTCCTTCCTTCCTTCCTTCCTTCCTCCCTCTCCCCCTCCCTCCCTCCCTCCCCTTCCTTCCTTCCCTCCCTCCCTCCCTCCTTCCTTCCTTCCTTCCCTCCCTCCCTCTCTCTCTCCCTCCCCTCCCTCCTTCCCTTCCCTCCCTCCCTCTCCTTCTTTCTTTCTTTCCTTCCTTTCTCCC